CTGCTATCTAAATAAAGTTAGAAGTTATTTTTGGCTGAGCTAGTCAGAGAATGGACACATTTTGAGCTGAATTTTTGTGACACGTAGGATTTGATTGTAGAAAGGGAAATGAATGGCATAAAATAAAAATAGGTAGATTTTTGACCAGTGAATTAGAGAGAAAAATAGTGTAAGTGCTGGTGCATAAGTGGAAGAACCTAATCAGAGCTCAGGGAATGGCGAGTGATCCAGGCGGGCAGGAATACGGTGGTGTTGCTGGGATGGACCAGGAAACAAAGCCAGGATGAATGAGCAGGCTCGGACCTGATTACCGAGGGTCTTCAATGTTGGGGGTAGGATTGTAGCCCTTACTTACAAGGTGGTTGGCACTGTTTGGTGAGTTTGAGCAAAAATGTGACAAACTCCAAGCTCTCTTTTGATGTGAAGCATAAGGAAGTGGGGATTCATGTAATTTAATCATTATAATTTTAGAGTGAACTTCCTAACAAGTTAAACTAACAATGAAATGGGATACCTTATGAAACAATGACCTCTCCATTATTCCGAGGCTGAATTTCAATGTCACGTAAAGGAAGTCTTGTGTTGACTAGAAGATAAGATGCTTGGGCCACTTTTCTAATGTATTAAAGAAGGGACAAGTACCAAAGTTAGTCAACAGAGAAGAAAGAAAGAAAATGTAAGGTAAAAAAATGTGCCACCCAAATGGGCCTCTTTCTTAAGGGAAAAAAAAATCTTAAGGAAACTTAAAAAATAAGTTAAGAAATGTGGAGGAGTAAAATTATAAGGGCAAAAATTCACTGTAAAATATATTGATATGTCCAAGTAAGTTGTAGTGAGTTGGAACTCTTTCTAGCTTGAGTTTGATCTAAGTACCAACACAATAGAATCCGGTAACGGGATGAGGGTCAGACAGAACACCTTAGGTAGAACTTAAATTTCTGAAAATAAGTTTCATGACTCTGTGTTCTCTTATCTAGAGAGAGGCTATGAAAAGTGGTCAGGGTGCAGAGACAGAGAGTATTTATAAAGATATTTCTTTGCAGCAAGTTGTTGCAGTTCTTTTATCTCTACTCTCCCAGAAAGGGTGACTATCCGGGATCTGACATCCTTCATCTCAACTTAGTCGGGAGGGCTTTCAACAGATGGTAGGAAAGTCTAAACAGGTTTCCCCATGGATAGAGAGACATGAGGACTTATGCTTGCTCCTGAGAACGCTAAACCTGCGTATGGCTGGTCTCCAGTCGGCTAGGTAGCAATTAAAATCAGAAGAATCACTTCATGTAATATAGTAGCTATAACTCAGATGCCATCCAACAGTGCCACCTAAAGGGATGAAGAAATCTCAGTAGCAAGAACTTGGAGGAGAAGGAAAGACTCCTCGAGGTGAGGGATGGAGTGAGTCACAGTGACCATCTAGAAAGAGTTGCATCTATCCTGGTCTGGAGAGTTTCCCAGCAAGAGCATCTCAGAAATGTCTAGTAACTTAAAACCCAAGAAAAGGACTAATGAGAAAGAGTCAAGTGTGTGTGTGGAGAGAGGCGAGAAGTTCTTCTATAAATAAAGGTCAAGACATTTGAATAATACCTTGGTTAGACCCACATTCTAGTGTCTGAATTGAGGTTGTTTGCATTTTAACATGACCAAAGGACTATCAGTTACTCAGGAGTGGGCTAAAAAGTCCTAGAACTTTCTAACTTTTCGAGCAAGGGTAGGGGAAGATTATCCCCACCACATAGAGACAAAACATGTTTTGATCTGATTTCTGAAGTGATACAGTAACAGGATTTAACCAAAACCAATGGGGGGGGGGGGAGAAGGGCAGGCTAACACCAAAAATAGAACAAAAAACACAAACATAGAGAAATAAGTCACTTTACACGAAAAGTAAACTGAAGCTCTAAGAGGATGAGTGAGACATAGCTGATGCAGGTGCGCAACTTTTAACACCTAGGCAGCACTTCCTCTGTTGCTTCCCCTCCAGAGCACGATTATGCTCATCCAGGACTGCCCCCTACTGTGGTTTATAGGAGAAGGTTTACAAGTGCCACTGCTCTCAAAGATTATTTTTGAATTTAAAAAGCTGCCTCTGAACAATGGAACATAGCCCAAGGCTGCAATTTTGTTTTCTGTGTTACAGTGTGTTAAGGTCACTGGTGTTCTGTTCTTGAAGATGAAATAATGTATCAGTGGGAAGCTAAGTGAAGAAGAATAAACTGGCGGCAGATAGTACATGAAGTCAACAGAAGGAATACTTCCCGTGGTCCATAAATCACTCAGAAGCCCTCTCTCCTTCACCCTTCTTCTCTACTCTCCCATTCCTTTTCTGTCTTTTCTTCCTCCTTTTTCTCACTTCCTGATTCCAAATAAATGGCCTCAGCAGACAGGCCGCACTTAAGTAATCATAGCACGATGTAATTAATGACTCTGTTTACCAGATTCTTGCCAGTATTTTCTTTGTATCCTTTATTGTGTTTGGCCTTCAAAAGCTAGTGAATATGGAGACCTTTTTGTTGTTGGTGGTGGAGGTTGCCTTTCACTTTGGCATATGGTATTCATGCCTTTAAAAGTTTTTTTGTTCTCATTCCAGGGCACTTCATTGATGAGATTTATCAAAATGCACCTACAAATCAGCAACTAAGAGGTTGCCTGAATACAAAGTGTTATTGGAAAAGCAATCACGACAAGAAAACAATAACAAAGAACAGCTTTAGGAAAAAAACAGACTGTTAACTCTTTCTAGAAGAGATCATATTTATGACCCTAGAAATAATTAATCAAAACCTTCACTGTGAATCAAATTGGACTTTCCTTTTAGTTTGAGTAATTGGCTGTTCCTGGAAAAGCAGCACTCAGAATCATTTGGAACAAAAATTAGTTTTACTCACAGAAAGCAGTTTGTAATGTTATTTCTAATGGAGGGACAGGACTGATGAATCAGATATGCTTCTGCTCACAAAGCTTCAGCTACTCCACCCCCAAAACATAGGGGCCATCACAATACACACAAATAATGAAATATTTTTTATATTATTTGGTTAAAATATTGTCATGATCTCATTCCTCTCTTCAAGCATAGGTGTCAGTCAGACTTCAAAGTATGTGCTGAAGCAAAAACCAGTAAGAAAAGTCATGCATGAAGGAATTTTCTCATTTATTTCTTCACTATTTCCTTCCTTTCGGTCTATTTGTTTTATTTGCGTAATATTTAGTCCTAATACATTGTTATATGCTTACTCATTCTGAAGATACATGGTAAAACTTTTGATATATCTTGCCAATGGTTGTCTTATGAAGGAGTATGGTTCACTACATGACCAGGTGGCTACCTTTAGGAAAGCCCACAAAACTTTGGAAGCAGCTGTGACAATGCTTAATGCAAGGCTGGTGCAGAGGCCACTTATACACTTGTCAGAGGTGAAGACCAGGAGACTGGACCTCCAACCCTGGCCTGTCTTCCATGCTGCATTCCAGACTGACTGTCTGCTCCTCAAACTCACTATAACTCAACCTGATATCCCTTCAAATTGTCTCTCTTCCTAATTTCCAGATTTTTTAAACAATGCTATGCAATGAAACAAATGGAAATGATGCTAAAGTGGGTTTGAATCCAAACTTTACTGTTTGATTTTGGGCAATGATTTCTTCTTCCCGAGGTTCAGGTTCCTCTGTAAAATGTTGACAGAGATCCCCAGAGTGTAGGATTGCAGACATTTAACAAAGTCCCATTTCATAGTGCCTCGCCCGGTGCATGGGACAACACAGGTGCTAAATAACCATGAATTTCCTTTCTCTCCCCAATCTGTCAACGATAGTGTCACTGTCCACAGTACCAGGTTGAACACATTGCTATTGCTTTTCCTCTTCCCCTCTCACTTACCCTTAATTAAAGCCAATCAGAAAGTCATGGGATCTTAGAACTGGCAAAGACCTTAGAAATCAGAGTCATCTGATTTATTGATCAAACATAGATCTATGAGTCACCAATTTTTCTAGCAATTCGACTCCTGTGTCACTTCAACAAGTCATTATTTGGTGATGGAGTTTGTTGCCTGACACTTGACAATCATATTAAACAAAAAAGTATCAACAAGCAATAGTTAGCCTAGTGATGATGTGCAGACACGGCTTCAGGCTTACCAGTTGAGCGCTATTGTCTTAAACACTCTTTATGACTCAGAAAAATTTTTCTGGTAGAATTTTCCCTGTCCCTGGTATGTCCCTTCTCTATTTGCCACTCGCTAACATGGGAAGAGGAATCTGTCTCAGAAATTATTGAAGGAGAAAAGAATCATAAAATCAAAACAAAGGAAAAAATAAGAATTTCAAAGGAAACAATATAAATTTTAAGAAGCCTAAATATTGACTAATAGTTAATCAATTACAATATTACACACAGCCAGGAACTATTTTCACCATGTATTATATATGCTAGAACATGAGTTCGTTTGTGTTCTTCCAAGTGCTTTATAGTAGAAAATCTTAAGGGAATGACTCTACTAAGCAAAACAAGAGTTAGACATGTTCATGTAACTGTTCTTGTAACACAACTAACTATTCTTCCTTTAAATTCCATGCTGAATATTCATACACAACCCAAACCTCCTTGATACCTTGATCTTCTTCTCCCTCCTATGTTCCATGTACAAGAAGAAAATAAATTATCTATAGTTAATATAGTTTATTTTTGTTAGGGTGTAAATAATTATTTTTTATAAAAGTTTCTATTTCTTTAATCTCCATAGTCACTGAATATACAGATCATACATCCAGGGTCCTCCCAGTAATAAAACTAGAATGAGATAAGATATAAAACAGACCCTAGCTCTAGTGAGATCCTTATACTGAAATTGACTATTTGTCAGGGCAGCATGAAAAGTTTCTGAAAGAGCTGACCTTCAAACTATAACGTTTGCTCCCCAGTCCAGTGCACTGACTGGATTCCATGAGGGGCAAGCAAATGGGAAAATGGCCCACCACCCTCTAGGATCCCGCTGGGTTACCTCTGAAATGCGAAGACATGCTGCTCACAGAAGAGGAGGGTGGCTACAAGGACTCCAAAGCTATACAACTTCATCGCAACAGTGATTTATGGAAAAACAAAATTCTCTGAAGAGAAGGGTCCCAATAGCTGGTTACGTAACAGCCTTCTTTACACAGTGGTTAAAATATAATGGCATGTTTCCTCTCATTTCTGTAATCAATTAGCTTGGCTTCCATTTGCACTCTGAAAAAGAAAGTATGACGAGAGTTGTTGTTTTTGGTTTAGACTATTTAGAAAATATTTAACTTCTCAGGGAAGATGAGGCCAAGAATAAAAGGATAGCAGTGGAGCAAGAATGTGTTGGGTTTGTTGGAGAGCTATAGCCGTAGAGTATTGACTAATGGATCTTGAGCCCTGCTGAGGGAGGTCTCTACTGGAGTACTAAAAAGGCCTTCTCTTGCCTCTGTCTATTTCAACATTTTCAACTTAGATGAAGACATGGAAGGTGAGTTCCTCAAATGTGTGGCTGATACAAGGATGATGAGAAGGAGAGAGTGTATGGAGGATTACAGAATCCCCGTTTAAAAAGATTTTTCCTTGTCCTTATGGAATGATGGGCCTAAGAGGATAGGAATGCTATACTGTGGGAAGCTCAACAGTAAAGAAACCAGAGTAGTAAAGAAATCAGATTGCTCTAAATCATGTCTATTTAGGGAAGATCGCCATAATAGTCATTATCTAAATCAAGGTCCATGTGGTGTAAGCCCTGACCTTTTTTTTTTAATAATGCAAGTGCCTGTCTTTTGGCATCTGCTGTTGTATGATGGGAATTTGCTGCCCAAGTAACTATTCTTCTGCATGTCAGCTGTCCTGGTACACCCAATGACTTTTAAGGAATTATCCTTTTCTTCGATGTTCCCCAGATCCATTACTCTGGTCGAGATGTGGGCTTATTTTTTTTATTAACTTGTTTGGTACATAGAATCTATTTTTTATGTAAGGATTTAGACATTTCTTCAATTTTGGAATGTCCTTTGATTATTTCTTCAGCTAGTGTATCTCTGCTACTCCCTCTTAGGGGCTCCCTTCATTGTTCCTTGATCCATCCTCCATGTCTTGTAACTTTCCTTCATAGTTTTAAAAATCATAGTTTTTTGTCTCTGTGTGCTGAGTTCTGGATTTCTCAGCATCATCTTCAAATTCACTAACTCACTCTTAGACTGCATAGTCAATTGAGGTTTTGAAAAAAATATTATTTCAATAACCATATAATTTTTTCAACTTTTATAACTGGTCATTTTTCACATTTATTCATTTCACTTTTATGTAAGTATTTAAAAATATTATTTAAAAATATTTCATTGTTTAATTTTTTTATGGATATGTTTTTTTCAGTGGTGCTCCTGAGAATCTTCAGAATACTTATTTTAAAGTCTGTGTCAAACTGCTCTAGAAGATTAATTATATTTGGGGTGAATTTAAGCTCTGAGCACTGATTTTGTTGGCTGCCTTTCTTAGCATTTGATTTCTTTTGTGATTTGGAAACTTGGTTTATAGGTTCATTTTGAAGTCTTTCATTTTTCCTTCCCTGTCTTTCTCCCTCTGTGCTCACTTCTCTCCGTTTTGCACATGCCTCCAAGCTGCTTTCAATTAAAGACCTTGTCTTACTGGTTTTGGGAGCTTCTATGCTATGAGAATATTGTGGCTTTCAAAGAGCCAGTAACCAGGCAGAGATGACTTGACTTAGTTATTGGCTTAGTTCTCCTGGTTCACTTACTCCTCTGTCTGTTACAGACCAGCAGCTACTTAAAAACCAAGCCTAGGCAGCAGTGGACAGTATCTTTTTAAAACTGAGGTACCTAAAGTGAAATGCACAGATCTTAAGCATGCCATTAGATTAGTTCTGAAAAATATGTCTAATTGAGTAACCCCTATCAAGGTATAGAAAATTTCCATCACTTCAGAAAGTTCCCTCATATCCTCCCCAATCAATTCCCTTACTCCAGCAGCAGCTGTTCTGATTATATCACTGTAGATTAATTTTGCCTGTCCTAGAACTTCATAGACTCATACATGTACATGTTCCGAGTCAGTTCAGGCTGCTACAATAAAAATACCACAGATTGGATGGCTTAAACAATAAACATTTATTTTCCACAGTTCTGGAAGGTGGAAAGTCCAAGATCAAGGCACAGATTCAGTCTCTGGTGAGGACCTGCTTCTTGGTTCAAATATGGCCAACTTCCTGCTGAATCCTCACATGGCAGAAGGAAAATGAAAGAGCTCTCATTTATAAGGGCATTAGTCCCGTTCATGAGGGATCCACCCTCATGACGTAATCACATCCAAAGGCCCCACTTCCAAATACCATTACAGTGGGGATTAGTTGCAACAAATGAATGAGGGGCAGGGGACGGGGCCACAAACATTCAGTACATCTAGCATGCACTCTATTGTGTCAGGCTCCTTTTATTCAGCATGTTTTAAAAATTCTTTCACATTGTTGCATGTGCCAAAAATTGATTCATTTTTATTGCTAAGTCATATAACACTGTTTATCCATTCTCCTATTAATGGACATCTGGGATATTTTTAATTTGGGGCTATTATAAAGAGAACTGCTATGAATATATTTGTACAAAGCTTTTTTGTGGACAAACGTTTTCATTTCTCTTGGGTAAATAGGAATGTTTAGTTTTATAAGGAACTATTATGCTTTTCTCCAAGGTGGCTGTACCATTACCATTTCACACTCCCACCAACAACACGTTAGCATTCTATTGGGTTGTCGGAAAAGTCATGACGCATTTTTGCAATGAAAAAAATATGTCATGACTTTTTCAACAACCCAATTGTTTGTCCACATCCTTGTTGGTATTTGATGTAGGTTTGTTTTTTTTGTTTGTTTTTTTAGGCATGGCAGTGTGTGACGGTATCTACTTTTGGTTTTAATTTATATTTCCATGATGACTAATGATGTTAAGAATCTTTTCTGTCCTCATTGGCACGTGTGTGTGTGTGTGTGTGTGTGTTTTCAAATTGATTGATTTTTAAATCAGATTGATCATCTTATTACTGATTTGTAGCAGTTATTTACTTTTTTATTTTTAAAGATTTTATTTGGGAAATTGGGGGAGGGGAATAGCATTGGGGAATCGGGGAAGGGGAACAGACAAGTTGCTGTCCCTGTGTTCTTCAGTCTAGTTGTGGAGGACTTTGCTTTACCAGCCCATGTTGGTATTGTGATCACTGCGCTCTTCCCAGGTGAGGCAGATCAGTTGCAGGCCTCTGGACGGCCACTCATGGCGACTCTTGGCAGCTCACACCAGCTGCTGGCCACTCATGTTGCCTGCCAGCCACACACGGTAGCTTATGGCAGCCCACTGCAGCCTACGCCATCGCCAGAACTCACGGCAGCCCAGCTCTAGATTGACCTGTTGTTCACCATCTTAGCTGTAGAGGGCAGTGTCACTGGCCCTCATGTGGGATCCAAACTGGAGCACTACTGCTCAGAGCCGGCGTCCCAAGCCAGCTCTTAACCAACGTGCCACTCTGCCGGCCCAGCAGTTATTTATATATTCTGGACATCAGTCCTTTTTCAGATAGAAGTATTATGAATACATCTTCCTCTGGGAAGTGTCTGTTGCACTCTTTTTACCATTTTGAAAAATTTGGTTGTTCATCTTTTTCCTATAACTTGTGGGAGTTCTTTATATATTCTGGATACAACTCCCTTGTTAGATAACATGTTTTGTGACTATCTTCTGACAGTTTTTTGCTTTGCCCACTTTTTATTGGTGTCTTTTGAAGAGCAGAAGTTTTTAACTTTGTTGAGTCCAACTTATCATTTTTTCTTTAATGGTTAACACTTTTTGTGTCTTGTCTAAGAAATTTTTGCTAAATCAAGTTCATGGAAATATTATTCTTGAAGCTTTATAGTTTGGATTTTCACCTTTAGGTTTATGATTCATTTCAAACTAATTTTTGTAGATGGTATGAGGTAGAGATTGAGGTGCTTTCATTTTCCTTGTGGTCATTCAGTTGTTCCACCACCATTTGCTGAAAAAACTTTCCTTTTCCCATGGAATTGCTTTGTCATCTTTGTGAAAAATCAATTGACTCTGTAAGTGTGAATCTATACAATAAAGTTTGCAGTGATTTTTTTTCTAATACCAATAATAACTAGAAAAGTTCTGTGTTTATTTCATAACTCCTTTTTTCTCTTTGTGCTTCAGTTTTGAACACTATTGATCTGGCTTCCACTTCACTTACTGTTTTCCCTGCTATTGCAATTAGCTGACAAGTCTGTTGAAAGAATTCTTCATTTCTACATCATATTTTCATGCCTGACTTGTAGTTTGTTTTTTTTAAAATGTTCTTCTCACCGCTGCATTACCTTATCTGTTCATGCATGTTGTCCACAGCCAATTTCTACATCTAATTCTTTCAAAGAAGAAAAGAAATGGAGACAGTTTCTTTTCTCATTCTTCATCTCTCCCTGAGATTTCTGATTTTGGTACCTCTTGTGGGGAGTAAAAAGAACACAAAAGTTTGATCAGATGGACTCCACCCCTAGCTCACAGGCAAATATCTTAGTTTCCTGGAGGTGTAGCTTCTCCTTCTGAAAAATGTGGTTAAAAACAACCTACCTCAGAGGGTTGTTGTGAGGATTCAGTGGGGTAACATTTGAATGTAACTGGCAAAAAACCAGAAGTTCAATATGACCCATTCATATTAAAAAGATGAACCAGGAAGGGAGCTGACAGGGGCCAACATGTCTGCCCAGAGCCTTACCCAGCTCCTCATGACCTTGGGGACAGCGGGTCCTCTTTCTCTGCTGCTCCCAGAGAGGTAGGTGAGGAGTCACTGCCCCAGAAGGCAATCTAGTCCTGGGGGCTTATCTGATTGAATTATGGCCCCCGGGACCCGGCTAATTTGTACATTTGTTCTCCAGCCAAATTGGAATATTAGGAGGCAAAAATAATAGGTATTTCTTCAAAAGCCCTAACCCTGTGCTTAAGAATATCACCTCTCCTGTGAGGAGTGCTCTGTTTTGTCTTTCTCTCAATTGGGGGGTGAGGGAGGGAAGTGGGGGTGTCTAAGGATAAGGGCAAATGCCACTGCAGTCTTGGTTGGCCTGACTTGGATATGCATCTCAGGCTTATTGTTAGGTAAGTGCTGAGAGAGTCAATCAGTTTAATTATGCTTTATTATGAGTTCAGGTGCAGCTTACATTTACAAGTCTTCAAAATCGTTTGGTTATTAAAACTGCATAATCTTGGGAGGTGTCAAAGACACATAATTCATAAATGTTTTTTTTTCCTCCACACATTCTCTGTCATTTTCATTCATGGAGAGTGAAACAGCTTTATAAAGCTGTTTTGGCATATCTGGCCCCTTGTGTTTTCCTCCCGGGGAAGGAAGATGCCATCTCAGTATCCATTGAGAAGGGGACTTGAAGCTTGAAAGCAGAGAACTCTGTCCAGAGGTCCCATTCCCTTGCTT